TCCATCTCTGGTGTCACTGCTTCTCTGGACAGGGTCCTACATGCCGCTCATGCTCTTCTCCCTTGATGGTCCTAGGGTCCTCTGTTCCTGGACTGTAAGATTAACTCCTCCCCTCTTTTTAATTACAGAACTTGTACCTTTACAGTTGTGACAGTAGCAATTAGGCATGATAACACTTACTAATGAATCATAAGAATCTTATCCCCATCTCTTTTCACCAGACCCATCTAGACAAGATGAAAACTATTCAGTGGGGATTCTACCTTCCCCGGCACACTCTGAAACTAAATTCCCTCTTGAAAACTTGTAAGCCAGTCACTTTGTGCCTTTATAGACCCCCATTTTAAGTGGCCAATGTCTAAGTTGCCCGTCCCTATCATCTTCTTTTAATGCTTTCTGCATCATTCAATAATTTCCCCAGAGAATCTTTCAGCACCGAAAGTTGAGACTTGAATCTTTTCTTCAGTTCTCTCAGCTTGAAGAGACTTACAGTCTTGGAAATCCTAAACAGGGTCGCTAAGAGTTGGAACTGACTCTGGCACACAACCACCCACACACACACACACATTATAGGAGCTCTGCTAGCATAGTGGGTTAGGAGTCAGGCTGCTAACTACAAAGTCAGCAATTCGAATCCTCCAGCTACTCCATGGGAGAAAGATGAGGCTTTCTGCTCATGTAAAGATTTACAGTCTCAGAAATCCTATACACAGGTTTGCTATGAGTCGGTACTGACTCAACGGGACACTACCACCACCACCCACATTTGCTTTACTTGAGTTCAGCTGATTAAATCCCACAGAACTATTTCAAACAGCAACTAGATGAGTATTTGCCCAAACAGCTGAGCACCAGATCCCAACCACATGGACACATACAATTCAGCATCACTAGGGGGGCACAAGGGCTTTAGCATTGAACTGCTAACTTAAGAGGCTGGTGGTTTGACGCCCCAGCTGCTCAAAGGGACAGAGCTGAGGTAGTCAGCTTCAGAAACCCTATGGGGCTGTTCTAGTGTGGGTCAGAACTGACTTGATGGTAGTGGGAGTTTCTTTGCGGGGAACACCTAGCTCCTTGGCTTCGGAGGTTTCAGGGGACCTAGTGCCACACCCTTGTGACATCCCTGCATACCAGCTGCCCCTTGCCCTCTGTTCTGCATAGTGAAGCGGAAAGAGACCTCCAAGGCTGACATCGAGTACCAGGAGAATGTGACCATGATGGTAGACCATGTGAAGAGCGCTGTGCGCTGCTCCCACCTCTGGGTAAGGCCCTGGCTCTCCCTGGAGCAGCAGAGCGCCGGGGAGTTTACAGGCCCTGGGTCTGTCAGGCCTGCAGGACCAAGCTAGTCTCAGCATGGAGGGACATGTTGAGGACGCCGGAACCCTGTCCCAAGGCCACACAGAGCCTGTCCGACCGGAGGCTCCCGACAACAAGGGCACACCTGGCCTCTCTGTCCCACTCTGCCCCTGCCCCACACTACCAGAGTCACAGGAGCAGCCCCTCTTTGTCCCACCCCCCTTATTTTCCTCGGGCCTGGGTGTCATTCTTACACCCTGAACTCCCATCCTTGGCCCTTATGTGACCTCCATGCTTGGACAAGTGGCCCAACGCACCTGGATATTGAGCCCCTTGTCTGCAGGAAGCTCCTTCCCCTCTTTGGGGTGTTGTGAGGCTCTCGTGCACTGGCGCGTGGTAGGCACCCAGCCTGGGACTGGCCCCAGCAAGCCCTGGATGTGTCCAGTCCCTGAACTGGGGGTGGGGAGCTGCTTCCTCGATCCAGGTCCCTGCTTCTCTCTCCGCTGGGCTGGCCAGGACATCGCAGGCCGCTTCCTGGCCCAGAGGAATACAGAGGAGAACCTGCAGCTGCAAATGGACGACTGTGAGCTACGGCGGAAGCAGCTGGGAATCCTGATGAAGAAGCTGGAGTTGGAACAGGCTGTTCTCAAGTTCCACCAGGCACCCAGCTCCGTCAGGTAACCAGCGACCCGGTGTCTACACAGCCCCCATTCAGGGACCACACTCGCTCGCTGCCTGCAAGGCTGCACACACTCATCCTTGGCGCCTGCACACCCACCATCCTCAACAGCTTTGCATCTGTTGAGAAGAAGATGATGGACTTGCTCAGAGAGGAGGAAGACCGGCTACATTTGGCCCTCAGCAATGTGACCAAGAGCCAGAAGCTGCTACTGACCATTCAGACGGGCATCGACAACCTCTACATCCGGCTCATCGGCATCCCCACGCCGATAGGCCAGGTGCCTGCCCTTGAAGAAGCCACCCCGACTGCCTGGGTGCAGGGATGAGCACTGCAGGCATCACACCCTCCTCTTGCCTGCAGAGAGACATGGTGCCCTCCAATTCCCTTGACGTGTACAACAAGCTGATGTACTGCGAGAGGACACTCACGTTCCTAATGGACAGAGTGGAGGGGCTGACCCCGTCCGAGGAGGTAGCCCGGCTGGGAGGCGAGCCTCAAGCCCATGACCTGCTCTGTATCTGCAGAGCTGACGGAGCTCTGCCCCCGCAGGTCATCACGAAGGTAAAGGACGCCCTGGAGGCCTCCATGCTTAAGGAGAAGCAGAATACCAAAATCAGCTTTGAAGACCGGGAGGAGGACGTGATAGGTAAGGGCGCGGAGAGGCGGAGCCAGGGCGGCTGGGGCGGGGCCGAGACGGGGCGGGGAAAGGGGCGGTGCCGGGGGCGGGATCCAGCGGCCGGCCTCTAGGAGCGAACGTGCACTGGGTTGGAGGTGGACCCGGTCCCGGCGGCATAGGACTTGGGGGATGGTTCTCGTCCTGTCCCGCAGGGCGGGATGGGGTCAGAGGTGACAAGGCCTGGGAGGGGCTGTAGGGTGCCGCCCTCCCTTGTAGAAACTTTCCAGTTTGCGGACGTGGACCACAGTTACGTGCCTTCGCGGGCCGAGATCAAGAAGCAGGGCCAGCGGCTGATCGAAGGAAAACTGAAGACGCTCAAGAAAAAGAAGAAGTAGTTCCCCCACCCCCTCACCAGCTCTTTATTATACAAATAAACATTTTTCCAGGACTGACAAGGGTCGCGGGGATTCGATACAGGCCTTAGGGGGTCATGCTGGGTGATGTGAACCGAGGGCTGATCGGAGGTGTCTGGGTTGACATGCGAACGGGGGTGCCCTCTGGGGGGGGGCAGTAAGCGGCAATCAAGGGTGCGGCGAGGTCCGCTAGGACCGCTAAATCTCTCGCCCGCGGGACCCCTGTGGTCGTACCGACTGTAGTACCACCCTGCGCATGCGCCCCACCTCTCTGACGTGGCCCTCGTGGCTCCCCGTAGCCTCCGCGTTCTCGCGCCTCGGCCGCGCGAGCGCCAAGATGGCGGCGTTGACGGGCCGAGAGTGGCCGTGCGGGAGGCCGCGGGGACCGGAGCGGAGCTGCAGCGGCTGAGGCCCCCGGACCACCGTTTCCGCCGCCGTGAGCCCGGCCCGACGGGCCACCGGGACATGGTGCGCGCTACCCCGTGCCGACGTTGCTGAGCTCGCCGGCCGCGCCCGGGCTCGGGCGTCCGAGCGGGGAAGATGTTTTCCGCTCTGAAGAAGCTGGTGGGGTCGGAGCAGGCTCCGAGCCGGGACAAGAACATCCCCGCCGGGCTGCAGTCCATGAACCAGGCGCTGCAGAGGCGCTTCGCCAAGGGGGTGCAGTACAACAGTGAGTGCGGGGCTGGGCCCGGGCAGCAGCCCCCTAAGACGAGCCCCGGGACCCCGAGTCGGAGGAAGGGAGGGGAAGGGGCTGTGCAGACGCTGAGCCCGCCAAGCGCCCCGTCGGCCAGGTGCTCGCTTAGGGCTTGAGAGTTGCTGTTAAAAATGGATACATCAGAAAGTGTGGTGTGAAGGGGTCGGAGCCCCGCGAAGCCCGCAGGACTTGACTTTGCGGAGAAGGTGGACCGGCCGGCCCTGCCCCGGCACCAGGAAGTGCCCTGCCCGGCGGGAGAGGCTTCGGCAGGTTTCGTGTGTTTCTGAGCCAGGAGGAGGCCCTAGAGGACTCGAGGGGGCGGCGAGGGTGGGCGCCCCCGGGATAGGAGACCTGCCTGCTTCATGGTAAACGGGGAAATCCGTGGAAGGAGGTTTCAGTCGCTGCCGGTGCCCGATCTTGCCTGGTCCGAGAGGAGTTATTACATAACGGGATAGGATAGCCGTTGGGCCGTGACTAAAGGGGTTCTCAACCGGTGAACTATCACGACCTGGAGGAGGTACCCCGAGCCTAGGCGGCTGAGCTTGTCCCAGCCAGGGGATTTCTCATCATTGACGTGGCATTGAGTTTGAAGACAGAATATCAGCTACGCCACAGTTCGTGCCTTTTAAAGAAGCGTTTGTAAGGGATATATTTAGAAAAGCTCCAGAAGGCACCAAGATGCTTGTTATCGGGAGCCATCTCGTCTACTCTGGGAAGGAGTTCGTCACAGATGCCCAGAGAAGCGGCCCTGACCCTTGCTCTTATCAATTATGTACATTGCGCAGCGCCCCACTCGCCGAGATCTTGACCCCCTTTCAGTTTTCCGTGTCGCGTTCTCTTTCCTACGGGTATTGGAAGGCGTTCTGCCTCCCTCTGCCTAAATTGCTTCCTTGGGAGATTGTGGACCCTTCCCTGCTTTGCGCTTTGAAGGGAGGCCTTCGGAAACGGGACGGGAATACTTTTGTGCAGGTGGCAAAGAGCTCTTGGCAGCTCTTTGTGTGTGGAGTTTTGTACGTGTTTCTTCCTTGTTCATTCCGAGGAGAGACTAGTGGAGTAAGTCAAAATGTCCAGTTACAGATTCTGTAGAATCTACGTTTGAATTCCGTATTCCATTTTATGTAACTTTCACATTCAGTGGTCCTGGGTGGCGCAGGTAAGCGCTTTGCTAGGAACCCAGAGGTGGTGCTTCAAATCCAGCCAGCGGTACCTGCAAGGATGACCTACTAAAAACAGCACCTTTTAGTCTTGTTTCTAAGTGAGTCGGAGTCCCGGGGAAGTTAGGCCTGGAAACCGGCTGCCTGGTCCTGGGTAGGGCGTGGGGGCTGGGACCTGCAGTCACACTCTCTAGTGAAATGGGGATTCGCGTTCTAGAGGAGTATTGTCCTGAGAGTTGGATGAAACTACAGTGTTGAAACTGTCATTTCCTGTTTTATTCAGTAGACAGGAAAATTCCTAGCATTTATTTTCCCAAATATCTTATTTAGGGAACAAAGCAGCAATATAAGTACATATAAAATTCAGGAATTTTATAAGAGATGCCATTAACTGTTATCCTGGGGGCGGGGAGGCAGGTATATAACTCTGTTTCTTTTAAATTTGCTCTGACAAGAAGAGCATCGATCACAGATGCATTGCCCAAGCACACCCATTGGATTTAGAACCCAAACCTGGTGAGTGGGCATGTCCCTCTCTGCTGTGATTGGACACCATGTTGCAGGTGAAGTTTTAGCCAGGACACCCATTCTCATGGACACAACTCCCTCAGGAGCCTGCCTTGGGGTGTGGGGACATAGTGTTAGGATTGGAACTCAGGAACTTTTGAAGGGCTACTGTCGGTACTGATAGCTTACCTTTAGGGAGGAAGCCGCCGAGTCCAGCCAGTGATGCTAGCTGCTGACATGCCACATCCTTCTGAGGGCTTTCCAGAGTGTTGAGTGCTCACTGGGGCGGAGCGCACGTTGGAGTGAGCGCTCACCATAGTAAAGGAGGCGGTGTCTGGCCTTCATGAGGCACTGAATCCTGTAGAGAGGTGAGGGGCTGGGTGTGCCAGGAAAGCTAAAGAAATGGCAGTTTTCCAGGGAGCATTGGGGTGGACCTCACTGATCAGGGACAGGGAGGTCTTTGGGGAGCCTTGTGGGCAGAGAGAGTGGCTTAAACATTCGACCACAGGCAGGGGAGAGGTCAGTAAAGTGAGCTAAGGAATGGAGGAGGCAAGTCACCGAGGTGGGGGGCGTGATATAGGACCACAGAGGGCTTTTCCCAGAGGGGCCACATGACTTGACCACACTGATTGACAGGCTGCAGGGTGGGAGGACAGTGAGGAGCCTCTCACTGGGGACACAAGACTACACCAGGGACCCTTACAGAGGTTCTGACCATGCACATCTGAGATCGCATGGTGTGGCACAGAGAAAGGGACAAGAGCAATGCCTTGATGCTTCTAGTAGGAAATAAGCAAGGGTAAACAGTTGCTCTCAGAATACAATTAGAGCAGAGGCTGACAAACCCAAAGCAAGCAGAAGAAAAGAAAGAAAGATGCAGAAACAGATGGTTCATAAAAGAATCTTTTGAGGCCTTCCGCAGAGTATCTGTTCTGTATGTTTGTGAATGCCTAATAAAGTACACACACAAACACCATCCTGAAGGCATCCCATAGCCCCTCAGCTGCCAGGAACGGTCCCGACCCACTGCAAGCCGAGTGAATGAGTCAGCTTTGAAAATGTTCATTATAATAGGCCACACACCCAACTACAGTGGGACCAGGTGGGATCACGTGAGCAATGTGGTGACTGGGGAAGAGAGAGCACATTTGTGAGAGTCACCCACTGGTAAAGGAGAAAAGCCGTAATTATATGTTTGATAAAGTCCAACGGCCGAGTCTTGGTTTCTCCAGGAGCAAAGTGCACACGCGCACACACACACACACACACACACACACTACCTGTTAAAACTACCAGAATCTGTGCGAAGCAGTGAGCTGAGTAGCCTCCCTTCTGCAGTGAGGGGTTAGACAGTGTCTTTAGTGTCCTGTGCCCTAGCCGCTCAAGAGAAGGAAAGTAGAAAGGTGATGGGGTAGAGAAGCCTTCTGTAGGAACAGACTCGCTGTAAATTGCAGAGATGTTTCCCAGGTAAGAAGCAGAACACAGGTGAAACTGGCCCTTAAAACAGCAGGCAGCTGTGGGGTGTGCAGAGCACCCCTCCCTCTAAAAAGTCCGAGTTCTGCCGCTCCGTTCCTGCCTCCTGTCTGTCTGCTTCAAACTTTAAAACTTCTCAGAATCACAAAGCAGTGGTGGTGAATGGATGCCTTTCTTCCCAAGGGTGTTTGTTAGATCTCAGGTCTGCAGTGGGGGAGGCAGGGAGGAGGAGGAGGAGAAATCTGAGAAACCAGCCAAGAAGGGGGGTGTGTGGTATGGGAGCCCTGCATGGAACTGGGGACCCCAGTCATGCCCTCGCTGCAACAGCATCGCTCTGGGACAGGAAGGTCCCTTGCTCTATTGAACCCTGTCTTGGTGAACAGTTGACTTTCACCTGGGTCTCTCCCCAAAATCAGTGTGCTAGAAACTCACTTGGAGGGTTTGCCACAGCCAGTACTCCAGGTTGGCCACGCTCCAGGCAGCTGGCAGAAGCACACACAATTGTGCTCTGTTGAATGCAGCGTCAACATGAGCCTCAAAGCGTTGCTGTGGATAAAGCTCCCAGAAATGTGAGCTGCCAGTCGAATCAAAATACACAGGACACAAAACACCAGGGACCTGTAAGTGCTCTGTCCTTGGAATTACACCCAGGACATGATCCAGTGAAGAAGTGAGGCTCGAGACCATAAGCATGAGTCTAGACCAAGGATATTTGACAAAGAACCTGCCCCCCAAGAAGTAAAAGATATGGAAAACAACTGAAGCCCCAGAATAGGCATGTGATGCTGCTCTGAGATGTTTTTCTTTTAGGTTCTTAGAAATCCAGAACATGAATAAATACACAAGACAGATTAGAAGGTAAAGTTGAGTTGAGAGCAAGATGACAGGTGACAACTGAGAGGGCAGATTAAGTTAGAGGACCGATCTAGATGGTCCAGATGTTGGGAAGGACAGAGAAGAAAAAAGAATATCTGTGGAAATTTCAGGAACCATTTCCAGAAGTAAAGGATGTGGACCGTTGGGTTGTGAATTCCCCCAGAAGCCAGCACCCTGGGGCATGGTGACATTTCAGAACACCAGAGCCGGGCACAGGAAGGACGCACGTCAAGGCTCAGGACCTGCAATGTGAGACCCGCCTGGATTCTGAAGGAAAATGGCCTCCACCAATAACAGCACCCTGGAATGCAGGGCTCACAAATTCAGTCAGGTGTGGGGGCCAATCAATATCCAGACATTTCCAGATAGGCACATGCTCAAAATTCTCACCTCGTTTCTCCCCTTTCGGGAAGATACCGAAGAATTTGCTTGTTTAAATGGGGGGAGGGGGGAGACAAGGAAGAGGCGTGCTAGGTTTAGATCTAGCTTTGGAAGACAGTGAAGGCACTAACTCTCAGTGTGATCCCAGTACCCACGCCGGGGCACCGGAACGCAGGGGTGCCTGCCCAGGTTAGCAAGTCAGAAGGCTTGCAGTAAACGGGGGTGGGGGACCACTGCTGTCTGGCGATGTTCGAACTGGCATTCGGCAACTAGCTGGGCTTGAATTGATGAAAAATACGCATAAAACTTCAAAAATGAGCCATTTGTTACTTCCAGGGGAATAGCAGGGTGTGCAGCAAAGTCACAGTAATCTCATGTTACACATGGCTCATCTGTGGCCAGCTCCACAGAGACAGCAAGCCCACACAGGACTCGATGGGAGCGTGCTGGCTGCTGGACAGCTCGGGCCTGAGGGCCACTCCCATATCCTCAGGATGAGCAGGTGTCTCTCACTGCAACTGGAGAAGTAGCAACCTGAGAAATGGCGTTGGAGACATGGAAGCTGCAAATACCCAAGTATTCATA